TATGGATAGATACATATGGAAAAACCTTTTTATTTTCATATGAAGAAGCATTTTCATTACAAGGAAAAATGATAATATAGAAAAGAATTTGCCTCAGTTCTAAGTTTGACGTATTTGTGTTCTCTCTTGCTTAGCTGACTTGAATATCCTTAGACTGAGAATAATGACTTCTCTTCTAACCACCATCTTCGAAGTTGGAAGCATACCGTGTCTTGCTGCTGGCCCACCTACATTGTGCATGGCTTGAGGATGCTGGACTCTGCCCTGCCAGAGCAAGGAACAGGGCATTACCTGAAAGCTGTATGTGTCCATAGATTCCTAAAGGTAGTTAAGTTGGATTGAATGACATTCTGATGGGAATGGGAAAAATAAACCATTCTGGGTACATGTTACTTTATTCACTTTGATGATAACCCAAGGATTTTAAGTTCTGTATCCCTCAAATACTTAGTTAACTCTCTTGCATTATGATTTGGCTCTGTACAGGTCTGACATTACAACAGAAAGCCATACAGGGCTAAGTGATAGCTTGTGTCTTTTGGTTGAAAGTTTTTTCTTTTTTTTGACATTTCCTTGTACAGTTTCACTGAGTGTGTGTGGCAGGACTGTCTTGATATGTGCATTCTCTGTTCTTGTTTATCCCATACCTCATCCTGATATGAGGAACCAGGCAACAACAATGATAAAAGCCAAGGTACTGATGACTGATGTACTGGCATTATTTTATGTTTTACATTTAAGCCCATTCAATCTCTGCAGCAAACCTATGAGACAAGGACTGCTGTGATGGTAGGCAGAACAATGATATCCCAAAGATGCCCAACCCTTAACATCTCAACCATGAAATGTGTTATATTACATGGAAAAGGGGAATAAAACGTTTTGAATGGAATTGAGAATGCTAACCTGTTCTTAAATACAGAGAACATCCTGGAAAATCCAGGTGAGCTTAATGTAATCTCAAGGATTCTTAAACTGCAGAAGAGAGGCAGAAGGACAGGGTCAGAGAGAAGTGAAGCTCTACACTACACACTTTGGAGATGGAGGAGGAAGTACAGGTAGGAGGATGCAGGCAGCCAGCAGCAGTGAGGGAAGACAACATGAGCAGGAGTCAGGTTTTGGTGAGTTTGCTCTTCCAGGGTGCAGGCCCCACAAGCTGTGTTTTTGCAGGAGAGCTGGGACAGCTCTTCTACCTGGGCACTGATTCTGTCCATGAAGTCTCCACCATCATGACCCAGCTATTTCCGAAAGGCTCCATCTCCTAATATCATGTTAGGCATCAGGATTCTACATCTGAATTGGGGAAAACGTGATTAAGGAGAAGTGGAGACCAGAAGGCTGTGTGGGATGATCTATGTGAAAAAGGAAAGTTGGATTTGGTGAGTGCTCTGTGCATGAGCAGAAATAACACACTGAACTCCATCAATGTGTCCAATTAATCTGCGTCAATAAACTTTTTCAAATGTGGAATGAAAAATTTACGTGGGTTAAAAATTAAATTATATATATATATATATATGGCAAACATCAACAGGAAATGTACAAATGATAAACTAAAAATGTGCTGTTATCACAAAAAAGGGCCATAAGAGAAGAACAGAGGGGAAAAAGATGTGAGATATATGGAAAAAATGTGAATAAAACCACAATAGTGACTGCTGTCAGTATAAAGTATATGCCCCAGTCGAAAGGTATAGATTCCCAATTATAAAAGAAAAAGGCGATCCAATCCTCTACTTTATATGAGAGAAATACTTTAGAGCTAAAGACATAAGTAAATTGAAAGTAAAAAGATGGAAAAAGACACAGCATCCAAACAGTAGCTGCAAGGAAGCTGGAGAGGCTGGTTTAGTGTTGAAGTAGACGTTAAAAGAAGAAATAATACTAAAGACAGAGAGTGACTTTTCCTGCTGATAAAATGCCCAATGTACGAGTGAGCTTTAGCATTTCTAAATGCATAGGTACACAGAACAGAATCCCTATTAAATTAGACAAAAACTTACAGAATTGTACAGAAACTATCCTACTCTGCAAGTGTGGGTGGTGATCTCAATACTCTTTTTCTCAGTAATTGACAAGGAACTAAAGTTAAAAGAAACAAGGATACACAGGAGTTAAACAACCTAAAATCCAACCTGACCCTGACATACAGAGAAACTTTCCGCTCAACAGTAGCTCAATCCATACTCGTCTTAGTGAGTGTGGATCATTCTCCAGAATCAACCTTATGCTTTGACATAAGACATGTTTTAATGACTTAACAATGGTCTGAAATCCTACTATGTGTATTCGCCAGCCACAACAGTGTAAGTTGGTGGGGGAAAGTGGGTGGTGGTTGGAAGGGGACCTTTGCTTAGTGATAAATTTATAACCTCAAGTACTTATAGTTGAAAGGAAGAAAGACCAAAAATCAATAATCACAGCTTCTGCTTTAAGAAGCTAGGAAAATTAGAGCAGCAATCCAATAGCAAAAAAAATAAGATGGAAACTAATAAAATCATGGTGGAAATCAAAGAAATAGAAAAGAGGAAAAACACCAGAGAAAAATCAATGAAGCCAAAAATCAACTTTTTTTTTTTTTTTTAGAAAACCCAACACAGTTCATAATTAGGAAAGTAAAGCAGAAAAAGAAGACTCACCATTAGAATGTTGACTACAGTCTCACCTCTGGCAGATATAGATTATAAGTACTAGTAAAACTTCAAAGATAAATTTGGAAATCCAAGATTGGTGGTCACCGATGTCTCATATTTCATTTGGAACATTAGGTGGTGTTAGTCAAAGAGCTCTTCCCTATGCCCTCACGGAGTGGAGGCAGTAGAATAGCTATGGTTTCATGGGGTGTCAGTGGAGAAGGAGCCTAAAGAAAGCTCAGTCTCCAGAGCATGCAACAGAGCTCTAGAACATTCAAATTTTCTGGGTACCTTCAAACAGTTTGGAACCTAAGAAGCAATTAGCAAGAAGATTAGACAGTTGGGCTCCAGAATGTCTGCGGAAGGCCCATGTGTTACGGTCTTGTTCCCCCGCCTGAAGCTCTTGGAAGGGGATGGAAGCGTTAAGAGCTGCAGCCTGAGGAATGCTTTTAGATCACTGCTGTGTGCTCCAGAAGGGCACTGTGGGCCCAGGCCGTTCCTCCCTCTCATCCCCAGGGATGAGGTAAGTGATTTAGGCAACCAAAGAGTGAGCTCCTCCCTTGGGCCCAGAGCAACAGGGCCCATTAGTCACAGGCTGCAGCCTCCAGCTGGGAGCCAAACTAAACCTCTTCCCTTGCGGTGCTGGACCTCAGGTCTCCGTCAGAGGGATGGAAAGTTGAGTGGCACAGACTTTGTGGAGGATGCAGGGAGATTGTTTTGCCTGTGGTAAAGACACAGTCCATATATTTAAGTTGTTTGAATGCAAAGACAGAAATTGGATCATAATGGACCAATTCTCCTTGTTTTCCAAGGAGTGCTGAGATGTAGCAATGCAATATTTAGCATTAGGGAAACAGATTCTAGCATAGAATCCCAGGTTCTGGGACCACTGCGGCTATTCTGAGTTTCCTTTCTGTAAAATAAGGCCAACTACTATCTCCTTCCCTCTATTTCTACAAAGCAATAATGTCAGTCTGATGCTTATATGATATGAAATGCATGAAAAGATTTGCAATACTGCACAATATTTTGTAAATATTGTAAAATATTAATTTTGCTATAAGTTAATCATTGTTCATTTGGAGCTAAGGGATTTTGTTGGTAATGTTCCCACTTGACTTTTACTTTTTCTCCAGCTTATAAATTTTTGAAAGTTTTACAAATTCTTACAGAAATGTACTATTTTACAGTTTCTTCATAAAAACAAAAATGACCGGGGAGATTGTACACTTTGTTAAATTCTGTGAATTCTTATTTCTTCATAAACCTGTGCTAGACCTGACATATGACAATAAGCTCATCCTTTTCTGAAATTTGTTTTATTGAAATTTGGGTCTTTTCACAGTTACAGTGATGGCGTCTTCTCCTCTTACCCTTCAGAATATTCTTTCAGGTAATTCATACTAAAATACAAATGCTTGAAAGTGGCTTTAAGCCAAGTACAGTCCTTGCACCTGTAATTGCAGCACTGAGAGAGGCTGAGACAGGAGGATCAAAAGTTTGAGTCCCACCTGGGCAGCTGAGGAAGAACCTGTCTAGAAATAAAAAGGAAAGCACTGTGTATGTAGCTCAGTAGTTGAGCACCACTGGGTTCAACCCAGAGTCCCAGGACCTCAAGATGAAGGAGAAGAAGGGAGGAGGAGAGGAAGGAAAAGAAATGGAGATGAAGGAGGAGGAGGAAAAGAAGAAAAATAAATAATAAAAAACCAGCCTTATGGGAGAGCTGTGAGTGTCAGTGGGATGGAGAGGAGCAGGATTGATATTTAGTAGATATCAAAGTCTCCACAAACTTCACCAACCCACAGAGACCCCGATTTAGTAATTCGAGGGCGGGGCTTGGACACCTGCACTTTTCAATGAGTCGTTTAAACACCGATCTATACCCTACGCGGAATCGATGATCTGGGGATGAAGTCTCAGCTGTGTGTGCGGGATTGGAAGGACATGCTGGTCTGCCAGGCACACTTTCCTCACACCGTGGAGACCGGGGCTTGCCATCCTCAAAGCTGTCAGCACACACGCCCTCTATGACATCTGATGGCTCCAAACAACACAGGAAACACATATTCACACAGTACACCGATGTTTTATTGTTCATCTTGGCTTTCCCTGCTTATACCTTTATTTATCTCAGTAAAATTATTAATGTTGAAAAGCAGCCAATTATTTACCAAATATAACTCAAGGTAAGCTCTGTTTTTGCCCTTCACTGAATTACTTCTTCCTCAGGGGTTAAATCTGATGGATATGTGATTTTCTTAGAAAACAAAAACAAATATGAAACCTTTTTAAGTCTCTTAATAAGTTTGATCTACACTCAGGCTTGGAAAATGTAACACTTTGTAAAACATAAAATCTATGAAATAGGAATTTTTATTTTAACAAATAAATATAATAATCATTTATCTTCCATAAAATGCACATTTATCAGCTGGCTTTTAAGTGTCAAGCTGTATTCCAGACGTTTGCGCATCTAATATTTCAATAAGTTCTTGTTAGAAATGCGATTCAGTAGATTAAAACAATAACAAAACTCCTCAAGTCAATATTAGCTGCTGTAATTTGGAAAGAATGCAAACTAGCAGTGTTGCTATGCTGAAGTTGGAGATGTAGCTTCAATAGCTACTGTTTTGCAAAGGCCTTCTCACAGTCCTTTTCTGAAAAATCACCATAACTGTCTTGTTGCTGATTGGTTTGGGAAGTAGTAAGGAAGGGTAGTGAAGAGCAGACAGAATGTTCCATTTTCTATAGTAGTTATTCTAGACTGTGGTACAATGCCAGCAGAATAACTTCAAATAGTCAAAGTCCCTCAGAAGATATTGTCCAGGGCCACAATGGAGTGTGTGTGTTGGGAGGAAATTGAGTCTCATTCTGGATCTTAGCGTTAGGAATGCAGAGGTGTTGGGTTCCCTTCAACTGACTGCTTTCCGTATTTGCAATGCACAAATCATGAGATGAGGATCTTAGGAGTAGGGTCTTGGAATTACTGCGTTAAAGTTCCTCGGCTGGTCCCTGTGCAGCCTTGGGTATTTAGGCATCTGGAAATTCTTCAAATGTTTTATTTTAAAC